AAGAAATAGTAAAGTAAAATAAAAATAATTTTCGATAAATTCTATAGAAAATGAATGTAAATTAAATTTTGATATAATTATTCAGTTTTATTGAAATTATTTTCGTATATTTATTCAATAAAATTTGGTTATAACCACATGAAAATGAAATTATTTTAATACGATATTTCAATTAATAAATTAAATGGAAAATTATACAAATATTATTTACGTCTGGTTGATTTCAGTGCATTTCATATTTTAAAAATAATATTTATTTTTTTAAATTATTTCGTCTCTGCTTTGTTTTCGTGATGGATTTAACTTGAATATGCAAAAATTATAATTATTTTTAATATAAAAAAAAATATATATTAAATTAAATATATTTTAAATTAAATTGAAATAAAAAGAGATTCGACTACAGTGGAATCTCGTTTAACGAGCATTTCGATTAAGGAGCAAAATTAATTGTAAGAAAAATGACTCGATTAACGAGCGACGTTTCGCATAACGAGTGACAATTTTTTAAACTTGCTGTACACATATTTCAGTATGCAAGTAAAAATCCGGAAATTTTTGAACGAATTAAACTTAAGCGAGGTGAAATATGTGTATATTTTTGAGAATTTTAGAGATTTTTAAATATTTTTTATAGTTACAACTTATTTCTGGTTTTAGTTGTTTTTATTTGTAGATACTTACGCATTATTCAGAATTATTTGTATAAAATATATGTAAAGTTACCGTTTAAACATAGTGATTATACAAGTCTTATTATTCTCATACACGTACATCACATTCCTATAAACGTACCAAAAAAATGAAGCAAAATTAGAAATCCAAGAGTCAATATCAATTCTCCATGCACATATGGATATTTCTGCATTAGTTCGATCAAGCTATTAAATAATCATGTAAATCGAAAAACGTTATTGGCAATGTTGTAATGTTGGGAAAGTAATTTCGTTTATTACCTTACTTGTATTTAATCAGCCTACTTCATTATGAATCATATTTGTAATTATATAATTTTCCAATTAACATTTCAAACTTGAACTGTTTGATTATCCTGTATATACATTTGTTTAGAATTTATTTTGTTCAATTAAAATTTACAAAAGCGTACTATAGTGAATCCGGACTGATCGAAGCTTGGTATTGTTCTGAATCAATATGAAAGGAAATTAATTATCGTAGGGATTATTAGCGTGTGTATATAGATACCTAAAATGAAACAATGAGATCCAAGTGTGCGTTGCTGACAGGCAGAACAGAGGTAGTTAGGTGCCTATAACCTGGACCATTATAGTAGTTATGATCGTTCGGCTAACTCGAATTGGAGATTGGACAATGTACGTGGTGTAGGTGTAGGGATGCGGCAAGGACGTGACCGAGCCTAGGAACACCTCTGAGCACGAACAATTTCTAAGGTGTTAGAATCCCATTTTCGGTGTGGCCTCACGTGCCCTCGCGCCGTTGAGTAAAATAAGTGTGGCACCAAACAAAAAAAAATTTACATATTTTATATAAGAAACTTAATTATATTTGTGTTTTCCCTTACATCTTTTTTAACACCACGTACATATCTTTATTCATAATTATACAAATGAAAGAAATCCAGTATTTCTATAATGCCAAGACTTTAGTCAATGAATAATTGGAATATATTGTTTAATTAAATAATTATAAGAAAATTTTGCATTTCAAAATGTTTATTTATATTATTAATTTCTATATATTTATTAGTGTCTTTAATTATCAAGTTTCGTTTATGTTTAAATATATCTGAGCGGCGGATATATCCGCCATATACTTTACACAAGACACGCCACTAGTCTTTTTTGGGCGGAGATGTAAATGCTTTGACATGAAATAAATACTGTATTAAGAATAATTCATTTTGTACGCATTTTGTTATAAACTTTCTCTTTGTAATAATACGTTTTTTCTCAACAAAAGGAAACCTAATTACAAAATCCTTTTTTGTTTCTACTCACGTATCGTCATATGAATTATGCAGGAGCAACAAAATCATCAGACCCGTATTTTTTTCTCAGTAGAATCGCGCGCAGCCCTTGGCGAACAAATAAAGAGGTGAACCTGGACTTGTTCTGTGTGTTAATAGTTTTGAAAATCTGTGGGGAAATCTGTGCAGGTCGGTCGATTGTTTAGGGGATTGGCCGGGACTCAATTATTCCATATTTGCGGTTTGTTTAGGCGATGAAAAGGATGTACAGGAGGAGCAAACAAAAATTATTGCAGTTTTTCTCCCCAAACGCAACGGTTCTACTCAGTTCCTGCGATGGTTCTGGGATTGGATTACAGCAAATACGTTTTTGTATTTTGTTTATATATTTCTTTTTTGTTTTTTTTTTTGCTGCGTGGATGAGAGAGAAAGAGCCTCGGGATTAAAAACAAACAAGATATTTATACAAAAATATATTTTTTCCTTAGCGCTGTTTACCTTCTTCGCTTCGTATTTTTGTTTGACTGGTAAACACTAGGAAAGATTATAGATTTCTCGTCCTGCAAAGAGGACTCTTTCTCTTCTCTCTATCTCTCTCTTGTATTTTATTTGCCATCGATTATTTGAAGTGCAATTTCATTTCGGATCACATTTGTCGAATGCAACCACTTCAATTGAAAAACACTATTTATTTATTTTTATCAATAATACTCATTATTGTTTATTTATTTATTCTTGTTAGTTAGTCTTGATTTTTTTTTTGTTAGGTTTTTCAAATTAGATTTACATTTTATTACGTGACGTTAAATTTCTATGAAGTTACGTTTAGGTTTAAATACGAGCGGCGAATATATCCGCCCTATCCTTTATACAAGAGATTTTGCTGGCTCAATCAACGAATCTTAGTTCTAAACAAGCACCACTAGTCTATTTTTTGACAGAACCATAAACGCTTTGATGTCAGGTCTGTGGAGGCTCTACTTTTGTTATTGAAATATGTCACTACATAATATTACAAAGGACATTTGAAAATTCGACGTTTGAAGTGAAGTTTGGTTAGGTTAAGATGTTGTTAAGTTAGGTTAGTTTTAGATTATGTCAAGTTAGGTTAACTTAAAATTATGTAAAGCTATGTTAGGTTAAGATTTGGTAAATTAGGCTAGCTCTATATTACGTTAAGTTGTTAAGTTAGGTTGGGTATATACTATGTAAAGTAAGGTTAGATTTATATTATGTTAAGTTATATTATGTTAAGTATAGACTACGTAAAATTAGGTTACGTTAATATTTTGTCAAATTCACCTATCCGAATTTAACAAAATCTTAACGTAACCTAATTTTGCGTAGTATATACCTAACTTAAGATTATGGTTACACAATAACCATAAACGTTTTTTTTTATATTACGCTAGATTTATGGTAGGTTAGGTTTAGATTATGATGAGTTATGTTAGGTATAGACTATGCAAAGTTAGATTAAGATATTGTTAGGTTAGGTTTGGATTATATAAAGTTAGGTAAGGTATAGGTCAGCCTATCTCTACGGTAAATCGATAGACCCCACGCAAGGTCACTTCTACTATAAAAGAGAAAGGATAGATTACAACATCCTACCCTTATTCTGACCCAACCTTTTTCCTTTTTTTCCAATACAAATTTATCGTAAAATAAAACTTTACCGGATTTTATTATTCCCACCATATTGCAACACAAAAAGTGACGTGAGTCTTCGACACTAATGCTAAAAATCATAAAATATTACTTCAAAAAAATATAACAAATAATTTTATGACAATTTTTTGTACAAAATTTTAATTTAGTATAAGCTAATTCTTTCATCATATTTTAAAAACTAGACATATAATAATTAAAAAAAACTGATCTTGTTTCATAGAAAACATATTGATTTAAAGTACAAAGTTTAATTTTACTAATGAATGAATGAAATTGTAATTTGTTTCTTTGTATACTTCTAACTAGACTATAAATAAATTGTTACATTCTCTAAATTTAGATCAAAAATCAATTTCGCAGACAAAACGCATCGCCGACCCTTTTCATACCCAAATCAATCAAAAATAACCCTTTTGAGGCGAAATCAATATTTACGTTTAAGCTCTGCCTTTGTTTTGACATCTGTCTATTAACAATAATTATTAGTCAATATCTAATATTAGCGACATCCGGGAACAATGATCACAGTATGGATTAGAGAACTGAAACGTCTAGAACTTACAAAAAAAACATAACTAACGCGTTTAAGTGCGAGGAATTAGAGAAGAAAAGGCTTCTCCGCACAAAAGACGCACTCAGTAGAATAACAGGAAGCAATATTCATTACACGTTGATCAAAACTAATGCATGTTTTATTAAATTATTTCTTTTAAACCTATTGAATACTCTGTACAACAATACCTCGCATAGTACGGCTTCTATCCGTCAAGATTCGCTATAAAACATTTCGCATCAAACTTGAGAAAAATAAAAATTAAGTCCAAAAAATTAGTACACAAAATGAATACTAATGCAAAAATCATCGTTTTTTCTTTCTTTCTAAATGTCTTATGCCCCTATGTAACTTATATAATTAAACTCTGGACGTGTCCATTTCAGAATTGTCCCCATATTGAAACACTGATTTAGATCCTCAATAAATCTATTTTTAACCCCTTAAATGGTTGACGTATATATTCGTCATGGTCTTTTGTCTTGTGTAGCGCATATGACGAATATATTCGCATGATGTATCAATATAAACGTTAGCGACAAAAAAAACGTGACCTCTAGAGCAACCAATGCATACAATGCATCAAATAGCTTAAACAGTACGGCGAAACCAATTACCCGCACTATTCGAAACTGCATTTAATTATTCATCTGGAACACAAAAACTTGTTTGCAAATGAAAAAAAAAAATATGTAAACAAAAACTGCGACTTATTATTTATTTACACGAATGCCTTGGCTCTTTGCTGAACGAGCGTACAACAATGTAGTTTTCTTTAGAAGGAAAGTTTAAAATTAGTTTATTAATTAATTGTCTTTGTTGCAGGTTCTCGTGGATCGTTAGAAGGATCTCCGCTGTTCGTGTCCGCTTCTTTTTGTTTACTCTTTCTTCTTGATAAATAATATTATTAAAAAAAAATTAAATAACAGTTTTTGAAGATAAATAAATAATTAATTGCTTTTCGCGTTTCTAATAAAAAATAATACAAAATCCGCGTTTTGTCCGTTCGTGTTATTTTCCTTTTATCGGTGGAAAATGCTTAATATATAAAGTATAAGGTGCTTTTTGGTTAGTCGAAAATAGAAAGAAAACGACAGGATGTGCTCCGCTTTGATAAACGTGTCTGTTCCAGTTTTGATTTTCGTTTTTGGTAAGTCCATAATATTATTACTTTTATCTCTTATTTTTGTAATAAAATAAAAACGATATGCAATTTATGAATGTTTTCATTGAAAGACATCATTTTGTAATTATTATAATCATCGATACTTTATATTTCTTTATAATTATGATAAATCAACACAAAAGAAAATTTATGAGCATTATTGATACCTTTTTTATGAAATAAACGAAAAAAAAATCTTATATAACAAAACGAACGATAATTTATGAATGTTTGTATTGAACAAAATTATAATAACTTTTCTGTTTCATTTTATCCAATATTTCTGCCTTTATGTCTACTTTATTATTAAGTTTATTGTCCGTTTTTGTTTATGTTTTATTTCTTATACAAATGAAATTGTAATATTTATTTTAATTGTAATTTTTTTTATTCATAACGATTTGATTCGTTTCAAGAAAAATATTTAATTTTCATTAATTAAATTTTCTTAACTTTTAGTTTTTAATTGTGAATTCATTAATTAAAATCAATTAGAAATGTATTCGGATTAACATAAAAATTAAAATCTCATGACTTAATTAACGATTTTGTTAAATTTAACAAAAAATTGCATCATTATTTCCAATTTTCATAACTTTCTTTGTAAAATCGTTCACAAATATAAATCTTTGAAACAAAATTTTTTATCAAAAATTTTCTTATTATTCAATAAATTATTGAGTGTAAATAGCTATAAATTAGTTAAATTTAATTAATATAATTAAATTAGAAAAAATATACTTTGAACTAAACGTTAATTAAAACAAATAATGTATAAAAAAACAACAAATGAAAAAAAACCAAATTGATAAAGTAACAACGAAAACATGTTTGTTGTTTACTCACGTCTACATTTTTGTTTATATACAGTTTTTTTTTTGTAATGTGTTTGGAAGGAAATTAATATGTTTTTAATTAAATAATTGGCGTCGTATCCATTTGCAAATTAACAAGTATCTGGCATGTATTCAGAGGAGCCATCTGCTCTCTGTCGCGTTACATTTACTCTTTTTTTATGATTCATTTATGTATTTTTTTTAAATTTATTTTTGATCCTGGATGAAACGTAAACTCGCTCCATTTACGAGAAGCAATTGCATGCAATATGTGTCGGTCTGCTTTTAAATTAACGAGTCGTCGGTCAATCAGCTCCGTTTCTGTTTCAAATCATCGATTAAATATTTCTTCTCATCTCCTTTCATCTCATTTTCTTCAGCATCCAATAGGATATTATCATTTTATGTTAAGTTCACAAAAAAAATCAGTTTTCTGTTGAATTTATGAATGTTTCGATTGCAAGAAACTATTATGTAATTATTATAAATGTTTATACGTTATATTTCATTTTATTCACTTCTCATCTCATTTTTTTAGCATCTAATAGGATTTTAACACCTTTTGTTAAGTTCACAAAAATATTCAGTTTTCTGTGGAATTTATGAATGTTTCGATTGAAATAAACTATTTTGTAATTATTATAAATTTGATACGTTATATTTCATTTTATCCACTTCTCATCTCATTTTCTTTAGCATCCAATAGGATTTTATAACTTATTTATTCAGTTTTCTATTGATACTAATTAAATAATTTCAATATTTTCATTTCAACAGTATCATAATTATATAATTTACTTTATTGCATGCACATATTGTTTGAAGAATTTTAACAAAATTTCATCAAATAAAATAGTGCATTTTTATATTAATTCAATAATTATTGTAAAGTATTAATTATGAACAATTTATATGTTTTTATTAAGTGGAATTACGAGATTCATTTTTATTTAAAACTATTATTTATATGAATAAAAAATTGATTTCTTTCGTAAAGAAAAGAAATTTTAATGGAAGTATTATACTTTGCCTAGAGATTGTTAATTTTTAATGAATATCTAATAAGAATAAACAGTAAAAGTTTGTTTTTAACAAAAACAAATATTGCTTTTCTATGTTCCTTGATTCTCTCTGTAGTTCAAATACAAACTTATAATTAACTCTACAAATGTTTCAGTTAAAAGTTTATACATTCTTTCCATATTCGCTTGTTGTCTGATAAATTGAATTTCTTACATGTTAAACAAAAAACTTAAGTTATATCTTTCAATTACACGCAATTAACATCAACAATTATATAATAAAAAATGCATATTTTTTGGATGAAAATGTAGTAGAATATGGAGGAGAATTACAATGTGTACAAATATTTGCGGGATTCAATTATATTCATTGCTGGCTGTGGCACGTCGAAACTTTTGTTTCAATTTTATTTTTAGTTCGGCGAAAAGTTTCGCAATTTAAATCAACAAACCCCGGGCAGACGAATACATTTTGCTTCGACGCTCATAATTTTAGGCAGCCGCCTCCTGCCTTTATTAATTACATAACGTCCTACACCTTTGCTCCTTAAAATGTTTCAATTTGTTGGTCAATTTTCAATTTATATTGAACTAATCTATTTTTTTTAAACTGAAGAAATCTACGAAATTTTGTAGAAGAACAATAATCTAAGACTTTACTTTAGTACTCATATTGAAGCTAAGTATATAAGCTGTAATTTGGTGGTACTGTCAATTGTGACAAGCTATTGTCTCAGCTGTCAAAATTAAACGAACATTTATTTAGCGATATAAAAAGATTTGTGTTATTACTCAACAACCACGGATGTCATTGCGAAGTTTGAATACTCTAATTAAAGACAAATATATAGGATTTAATTTTAATAGGTTTATATATCAAATTTATGTAATAATCTGTCAAAGTTGAATAAAAAATTATTTAATTCTCCAAAAATATAGTGGTCCTATGTTTTGTGGTGTTTCTCAATAACCACATCTATCAATTCTATGTGTATATGCTTTTACTAAAACTAAATATACAGACTTTAATATGAATGAACTATCAATTTTGTATCTGTTATGGTTTTTGTGTAATAAGCTGTCAAACTGGAAAAACTTTATGTTAATATGAAAACCACACATGTCACTACTAAGTATGAATACTTTTAAGAAAACCACATATACAGACTTTAACACAAATCTACATAAGTCAAAATGGTGATTTTGTAAAAAGCTACCAAATTTAGAATACTTTGTGTTTATATTAAAAAAAATATGCCTTCACGTTTAGTGGTATTACTCAATAACCACACATGCCAATTATAAGTATGTATACTTTTATTGAAACCAAATATACCGACTTTAATATAAGCTTAATTTATTTTTGTTATTGAGTTTGTGTAATACGTAAGCAAGAAAAAGAATTGTGTTAATATTCCTTCAAGTTTTGTGGAAAAATTCAATGACCACATATAGAAATTCTAAGTTTGAATACTTTTGTTATAACCAATGTTATATGATTTAATATGAGTGTACTATTAAATTTGTATTTGTTATCATTTTTATGTAATAGAAAACTTGAAACCTTTGTGTTAATGTTCCAAAAATACAGTGCCTTCACGTTTTGTGGTATTACTCAACAACCACACATGTCAATTATAAGTATCTATACTTTTATTAAAACCAAGTTTGCAGACATTAAAATAAGTTTACAGTTAAATTTGTATCTATTATGGTTTTCATGTAATAAGCTGTCAAATTTGAAAAATCTTGTGTCAGAGTTCCAAAAAACAATGCTCTCACGTTTTGTAGTTTTACTCAATATCCACATTTGTTAATTCTAAGTATGAAAACTATTATGAAAACAGAATATATAGGCTTTAATACAAGTATACGAGTCACATTTGTATCTGGTATCGTTTTTGTATAATAAGCTATGAAACTTGTAAAACATTTTGTGGTATTACTCAATAACCACATATGTCAATTCTAAGTATGAATACTTTTATTGAAACCAAATATACAGACTTTAACTTGAATAAACTGCCAAATGTGTGACTATTATTGTTTTCTTGTAATAAACTGTCAAAATTGAAAACATATTTTTGAAGTCACCAAAAAATTAACGCTTAATATTCTTGCTTTAATATGATTATACTGCTAATATCTTAAGAGTAATAGTTTTTGCGTAATAATTTCTCAAATTAGTAAATGTTTCAAAACAAATTTATATATTATGAATAGATACAAATTATATTATTAACAATAATAATTAACTTACATAACCAGGTAAAAAGACTTAACTGTTAGAATCGGAAACTTCCGGTGTAACAATTATCACTACTATCACTGTTACACCTAAATTCTGTACGAGAATTAGATGTATGCAGATGCGGAAGTTTCGCAATTCAAAACTGAGCTCATAATCAAATTCGAAATAGTTCAGAGCATAGGGTTAGGTTAATCGGGCGAAACGAAACTTTTCGAGGCACCCGAAAACGCTCGATGCAACAATTACGGGCAAATGGCGTAAACACGAAAACGCGTTAATCGAATTAGCATAATTGTTCGTAGAGCGCGTACGCAAATTGAAAGATTTAGTGCGGCAATTAAATCTTTCATTTGACACGTTTATTGTCTACTTTTATTATACAAATTAAATTTAATGCCCGGCAATCCTCTTTCCTGTTAATTATAATTTATATTAGAGCGTTTCCATTACTACAAACTTGTATTTCTACGTGTTGTATATAACTTATTTTTTTTGTTCTCTCTCTCTCCCACTGTCTGTTGTTTGTTGCTGCTGTTACAACTTCGTGTGTGTGTAGTTAACGAAAACGTACAGCTACAAAAGGAAATAAATAAAAGCAGAATGAGGACGACGAAACAATTCCCTTGTTTTAACCAATTTTTTTTTATTCTACTTCTTTTTTTTTTCTGTTGTCATTAATTATCTAAATAAATTATAATTTCTCGCGGGGACAATTTTAATAACAGTTATTAGGTGTTCCCAAGGTGGACATCGCGCACGTGTAATAATACCATTAGATATAACAAAAAAAAACGATATAAAATAGAAATATTCATCATCAGGTGACACGACAATTTGGGATATTAATGGGTGGAGTTTTTTTTTGCGGGGGTTTTG